AATGGCTCGACCTCGATCCACTTTGCTACAAGCAAAATTTTTCTTTGGCCGACTGCCTGAGGTAGGGGGCCTACTATGTCCATCCCCCACTAGGCAAAATGTAATGATGAGCGCATAGAGATCATCTCTTTAGTAGGTTGATGGATCAATGGTCACTTCACGCCTTCTAGAGGAGCTCCTGTGTCATGGCTTGCATCTTGGGTAAAAAATACTCAGCTCGTAACACATTTCCTATTACGCCCTGGCCTTCACGTAGGTTGATTCTACTATTTTTTCCTCTTTGTATCTGTATTAGCTCCCAAGTTATGAAATCCTTTAGCAATGACTGAATCTCAGTCAAGCATTTCTACATCCACGCTTTCTTGGCCTCGTATTCTCCCTTCACTTGCTCGACCACGACCTAGGAGTCCGAGTGAATAATCGCCTGCCGAGCTCCTTCTTTCGCTGCGAGTTGAATTTCCTTTATCAAGGCTTCATACGCCGCCTCATTGTTCGAGGCTCTGAAAGACAGCTTGACAGCAATCTCAAGGAGGTCTTGTCACGGCCAAAATACCCAAGCCCACTCCCCCGATCGTCGATGAACCATCCACAAATACCAATATATTTGTAAACCAAACATACCCTCCGTCATTTACCTCAACTCAGCTGCTCTGGCCAAAAAACGTTCAGCAACCAAATGCCCGCAAACCCGATTGAACCCAAATCCACCAAGACTCCCAAACGAGACGCCATTCCCAACTGGAGGGTCCAAATCAAGAAAACCCAGCTGGTTTCGCAAGCATCCGCCGTCCTCCTGCAACGCCACTCCAGACTGTGGGGCCCACTTCTCAAACCCCTCAAGCTTTCCATCAATTTCACTCCCTCCCTCTTTCACGAGATCCTGAACAACATCCAGACCCATCCGAAAATCTGCTTCAGTTTCTTCGAATGGGCCCAGAAATCCCTCGGTTTCAGGCCCGACCCGGGAGCCCGGTGCCGAATGGTCCGAATACTGTTCGGCTCCGGGCTGTCCGAACTCGGAACCCCCATCTTGAATTCCGTCGTGCAAGATTGCCCGTCGGCCAAGTTCTTGCCTTTACTGATCCAGTCGCACAAATCTTGCAGTAATCTCCAGGTTGTTTCCCCTGTTTTGAACTCTGTCATTGACTTTTACTGCAGCAAACAAATGTATTTGCAGAGTTTGGAGGTTTATAATATGGGTAAACGGTTCGGGTTTGGGTTGAGTCTGGGTACTTGCAACGGGTTGTTGAGTTTGTTGAGCGAAAAGAAAGAGTTGAAATTAGCCTGGTGTTTTTATGCTTCGGTTATTCGAAATGGGGTTTTAGGGGATGGATTTACTTGGTCGATTATTGCGAGGATTTTGTATAAAGATGGCCAATTTGAGAGGATTTCCAGGTTTTTGGATGCTGGGATGGATGCCCCTGAGGTGTTTGAGTTACTGATTGATGGTTATTGCAAAAGAGGGGATTTTGAAGCTGCCTTTGGATATCTGAATCGATTGTGGTGTAAAGGAGTCGAACCGAGTTTTAGTACTTACAGCTCCATCCTGGATGGGGCATGTAAATGGAAAAATAGCAAAGTGATTGAAATTGTAATGTCACTTATGGTTAAACATCGGCATATCCCAGTGTTTCCAGCTTCTGATTATGATATGATCATCCGTAAGCTTTGTGATTTGGGAAGAACATTTGCAGCTGACATTTTTTTCGAGAGGGCCCGTGATGAAAAACTTGAACTGCAAGATGCTACTTATGAGTCCATGCTTAGGGCATTATTGTCAGTGGAAGGTAGGATTCACGATGCAATCGAGCTGTATAACATTGTGCGGGAAACAAATATTCAGTTAAGCGAGAGCTGTTATAATGAGCTTGTGATCGCCTTTTGCAAAGAAAACCCATCTGAGAAAATCGGGAGTTTGTTAGTCGATATAGTAAGGCGAAGTTTCGCTTCTCCAGCCAATGAGCTATCGACATATGTCGGCAAACTGTGTGCAAAAAGTCGTTGGATTGAAGCAGAACAACTTTTTTATTTAGTTCTGGGTCAAGGGTGTTTGCTCGATTCTATCTCATGCAGCTCGCTTGTCAAACACTATTGCTTTAGCAGACAAATTGATAGAGCAATTCTGGTGCACGATAAGTTGAAGGAGTTCAAAGGTAATTTGGACACGGTAACTTATAATATACTTCTTGCTGCATTGTTCAAAGAGAAGAGAATCGAAAAAACAATTGAAGTGTTTGATTACATGAGAGAATGCAAGAAATTGGACAGCGATAGTTTCTCGATCATGATCGGAGGTCTCTGTCGTGAGAAGGAATTGAGAAAAGCCATGAAGTTACACGACGAGATGTTGGAGTCGGGTCTTAAGCCCGATCAGAGGACGTATAGGAGGCTAATTTCTGGTTTTAGATGAAAATCATGCGAGTGTTGAATGTGTTTCGAATCTTCTTACTTTAAAATCCCAAAGAAAAATACAGATTGATTGGCATTGGTTTGAATTTTGAAGATATTAACTCAACTCTATCATAAGAAATAATGTGAACTTAGATTTGTAATACTGTTAAATAAATATAAATTACCAATAAAAAGAAAAAAAAATCAAATAAATCTGAATAGTACGTGTCTTTGAAATAGAGAGAGGCCATTTGATTAGCACAACTTGCCCAAAATAGAATCGTAATTCACAGAGCCACCGCAAATGGCGAACAATCGGAGCCTCGCCGCCGCCGCCCTCCTTTTCCTCCTACCTTTCCTCATCTCTCCGCCCGCCTCCGCCGCCTCACCCATCGTCTCCGAGCTATCCGACCTCCAATCCCGATCCCCCTCCGGCGTCATCCACCTCACCGACGCACTCCTCCGCCGCATCCTCTCCTCCCCGACCCCCCGGCCCTTCCACGCCGTCATCTTCTTCGACGCCAGAAAGCTCCACTCCAAGCCGGACCTCCAGCTCCCCACCCTCAAATCCGAATTCGCCCTCGTCTCCTCCACCTTCCTCTCCAACAACCCCGCCCAAAAAACCCTAATCTTCTTCTTCGAGATCGATTTCGACGAGTCCCAGTCCTCCTTCGCCCTATTCGACGTCAACTCCCTCCCGCACGTCCGCCTGCTTCCTCCCTCGGCCGCCAATCCGAAATCCGACTCCGTCGCCATGGACGCCTCCGATTTCTCCAGGCTCGCCGAGTCCATGGCCGATTTCATCTCCTCCAGGACCAACCTCCCTGTGGGCCCCATCAGCCGCCCACCAATCATCTCAAAAACGCAGATCTTCATCGTAATTGCAGCCATCCTCATATGGACGCCCTTCTTCATAAAGAAGCTGATTGCCGGCAACACAATCTTCCACGAGAAGAGCACATGGATGGCCGGGGCCATCTTCGTCTACTTCTTCAGTGTGTCGGGCACGATGTTCAACGTGATTAGGAAAATGCCGCTGTTTCTTGTGGACCGGAATAATCCTGATAGACTGGTGTTCTTTTACAAGGGCTCTGGTATGCAGTTGGGGGTCGAAGGATTTGCGGTTGGGTTTCTTTACACTGTGGTCGGGCTTTTGCTTGCGTTTGTGGTTCACGGGCTGGTTTTGGTGAAGAATCGGGCCGTGCAGCGGTTGCTAACAATGCTTGCCCTGATTGTATCGGTCTGGGCCGTGAGGGAGGTCGTTTTCTTGGATCATTGGAAAACTGGGTATGGCGTGCGCTTCTACTGGCCTTCCAGCTGGCGGTGATTTTTGCCTTTAGGTATATTACTATTATTTTGCTAGTTTGAGATTGTGATAGTAATAAAGATTATAGCTTGAGCATTGCAACTAGATTGATCATTTTTTCGCAATTCTTTTTCTGTGGTGATTAGCTTAAACTTTGTGTTATTGTTCTTTATGTTATCATATGATGAGGGTGGATAAGATGGGTCACATTCGTAATCATCTTTTCGTTGATTGGTTCTTGCAAGTTACACGGTTATGTGCATGCATGTGACAGAGAAGTTATATTGCTCTCTGCTTTGTTACACCGTGAATTGGGCAAAACTTTGCAAAAGAATTCATGTGAAAGGGCTTCGATAACTCGGCAAGTTTCACTATGTTGTGTCTATTTTGGATAATGGGTTCAGCAGGGAATCTGGTATCACTGCTTGGGCTATTTGTCTCTTTTTCTTTCTATGGGCAAACCTTGCGTTTGTTTCTGGGGTTCTGTGATTTGACTATGCAGAGAAAGGTTTACAAGTTTTTGGGTCCTGAGATTGATTTTGGGAGTGTTGTTGGCTATGAAGAACATACAGATTATCCATGTTCTTTGCTGTTAACCTTGTATTGATTTTGGTTATCAGACAGTATTGATTGGGACAGTTGAAAGCTGTTGAGGAATTTGTTGTGTTTACCGACATTAAAGTATTGGTATATGACATCTGCGAGATATACATATCATTTTTTGTTCGAAGCGTATTTGAAATTTTCTTCTTCAGGCAGCAACTGTAGTAAAGATGAATCGACTCATTTAATCTGTTATTCGTTCCCATAACAACATTTGTGTTTACTCTGTTATGTGCATGCAAATGTGATTGGATATTTGTGTTGGAATGTGGAACAACATTTGTGTTTACTCTGTTATGTGCATGCAAATGTGATTGGATATTTGTGTTGGAATGTGATGGATGAATGTCTCGCACCAATGAAAACTTCAGATCAAACACAAAAGAACAACAAGACCAACAAGAATTGAAAATGACAAAGCAAAATGAATGTGGACTTACTCATCATTATTTGGAGTCAATAAACGGAATCTATCAAGGAGTTGTTGGAATTCAAGAACGAAGACTGAGGATGTAGATTGTACGCCGGAGATTGAGAAACCGAGATTGCATGTGTGCAGAGTAAGGGAGTGAGATCACAAGAAGGCCAAATGTGTTTTCTTGTGAAAGATAGGTGTATTTGTACTTGACCTGGGGGAATTCAGGCTCTTGGAGCATGAGCGGGAATTCAGACCCTTGGATCATGAGCGGATCAACGGATCAAATTGGGAATTCAGACCCTTGGATCATGAGCGGATCAACGGATCAAATTGAGCAAAAAATTGAGGACACGTCTCAAAGACGACAAACCGTCCTTTTAGCTATGCGTTTATTATTGACATGTCAGGAGCGTCTTTTCGTATCTTGACCATTGACCTTATTTCATAGCTTGAGGTCGCATGGAGTAGGTTTGAGGGGGAGGGAGGACTAAATGATATCGCCATAGCTCGGCTAAACTGAATCGTATTAAGTAAAACAAGTCAACCGATTGAAAGAGGGGCCAGGTTGTTTATGGAGAATGCATATATAATAGGTAAGCGGGAACAAGTCAACTTAAGGCTGGGAGGATGACTTGATAAGGAATGCACGAGTCAAATCAAGGAAACTTGGTGTAACTCAAAGGAGTGACCTAAGCCACTCAGGCATATCGACCTCTAACATGACGACCTACAAGACGAGGGAACTAGATAATATATCTAACTTGAGAACCTGTGGGCACTCTCATTAGGACGACCTAACTAAATAATATTATCAAAATATTGTAAAGAAAACATGATAACAAAATAATTTAACTATTATATAAGAAAAACTAAAAAAACTTTCGTCGAGCCCCCTGGCCAATTTTTTCAGCCTATTCATGCTAATCAGAGGCCACCGAGTGATGCCTACCCGCCTAGGCAGATTTTCAGTACATCGGTACGTACTTGAGTGTCAGAGTGCTCACGCCGAGTACCTCCCCGACACTTGTTTTGCAGGTAGTTGGCAACTCAGGGATGCTCCGAGCTTATTTCAACTGGTTCAACCTAGATCCAAGCCTCCGACATGTCAAAAAATAATTATTTTTGTATAAAAATGTTACTTTATATCTGAGCCTTTTGCCATATAGAATTATGAAGTGTGTGAGCATGTAAATTAAGGTCAAGAATTATAAATGCAGAATCACAATTAGAGAGGATAAGGTCGGTGTTGGTGGAGATTAACTGTCTAATGTTTTATTAAACATGTTAACTAATCATCACTAATATATTCACAAGTATCAACTGTGAAGCATTTGAAGGCCTAAAAATCGAAGTACCCTTTAAACCAGTCAAGGAAAAATTTGGTCACTTTATATATCCCACATATCCAAATCTGAGACTCCACAAGTTCTTACAAATTTAATATTAATTCCATTAATTAAATTAAAATAAGATTGCTCTAAAAATGAGACAACAATCTAACACGTCACATGTTTGACTCTTTGTTTTCTAATGGCAAGTGTTGTTGTAAGAATAGTTTAATTTTAAATATAATTTATAAAATGATTTAGAAACAAATAAATATAAAATTTTATATTTAAAAAAACTCCATGTATACTTTTTATTTTGATACTAGTGTAATATACGATTGTTGTACTGGTTAAGTTGGAAGATGTTACGGTCTCTTTACGGAACCATTCCATCGAGATTTGCAACCATTAGATAAACTATTTTTGACGATTACATAATAAACTGTTGGTATGGCTCATATATTGACAAAGGAAGAGGGCAGGCTGATGCCTGCGAGCGTAACGGAGCGAACGTAGCGAGGGAAGCAGAGCGACCGAGCGAAGTGAGCGGAGTGGAGCGAGCAACGATTAGTTGGGCGGGGGGTGCGGGGGCAGAGTCCCCGCGGTACGGTACAGGGTATTTAAGTAAATTTATACCTTGTAGGGTTTTAGTATAAATACATGATCTATTGATGTATTTGATACGATTGAGAATAATAAAAGATCCCTCAGCCGCCGTGGACGTAGGCACATTGCCGAACCACGTAAATCTTGTGTTGTTTACTTTTTCTCGTTTTTTAATTCGTGTGCCACATTGTCATCTTCACTCAACATAAACTTCAAACCCGACAGAATGGTACGAAAACTTAGCATTTCCTAAGTTTTAAATCCTTACATAGTTTTGAATTTTACTAACTAATAATCGTAATAACTAATAATTTTGTTGAATTTTTTGAAAGTACCTTCAAATCCACCTCTCA